CGTTGTGCTAGGTTAGGAGGATGGAAATCCGGGTTCTGTAAAAGGTCAATCAGGGGATTAATATAGAAGAGCTGGCTGGAGAATTCTGGGAGTTGAAGTCCACAAGTCTTAAAGTTGCCAAGTTTGGGAACCACTGTTGTAACGAGTTCAGCCAGTTTTGTCTGTGTTAACCCAAAGAGAAATGGAAACAAAAATGACTTGTGCAAAGCAGAGAAACTTTGCATTTGTGAAAATGGTAGGCATCTCAATTGCAAAAGGGGAAAAAAAGCCATCTAGTATTTCTCATCTGCTGTCTGGTTTATCGTATGACAGCCGAGCTCACGCTCGCTGGGCCTCGAAGACTGTGATGGGAACAAACACAGAAGCTGTGAGCCTCACTGTTAGTGCAAGGGCAGCCAGAGAGATGGGAGATGTATACATTTAATAAATAAGATGAAATAAAACTCTCAGTATTAGTTATTAAATTAGAATAGAATAGAGCTGGAAGGGACCTTGGAGGTCTTCTAGTCCAGACCGCTTGCTGAAGCAGGAGAACCAAGCAGGAGTTATGCCTGGTGCCCCACAGCTCTTACTTCAATATCTGTTACAGGTAATCCCTGACTTGCAACCAGCATCTGAGCCCAAAAGTTCCATGCGAAGCAAAACAATTGCTAAGTGACTTTTGCGACCTTTCTTGTTGTTAAGTGAATCACTGCAGTTGTTAGCTTAATCACACGCTTCTTAAGTGATTCTGGCTTCCCCATTGACTTTGCTTGTCAGAAGGTCACATGACCCCAGGACACTGCGACCGTCATAAATATGAGTCAATTCCCAAGCAAGTGAATTTTGATCACATGACCATGGGGATGTTGCAACGGTCATAACTGTGAAAAATGGTCATAAGTCATTTTTTTCAGTGTCGTCATAACTTGGAAAGGTCACTAAATGAACGGTTGTTAAGTCAAGGTCTAACTGTATAGGGAACACTCCTTGCTCTTCCTTCCTTCCTTCCTTCCTTTCATCTTCTGCCATGAAGACAAAACATCCTTCCTTTCAGGCCTAACTTGCCTTTCTTCTTTCTTTCTTTCTTTCTTTCTTTCTTTCTTTCTTTCTTTCTTTCTTTCCTTCCTTCCTTCCTTCCTTCCATCAATCTACTGCCATGAAGACAAAACATCCTTCCTTTCAGGCCTAACTTGCCTTTCTTCTTTCTTTCTTTCTTTCTTTCTTTCTTTCTTTCTTTCTTTCTTTCTTTCCTTCCTTCCTTCCTTCCTTCCATCCATCTACTGCCATGAAGACAAAACATCCTTCCTTTCAAGCCTAACTT